TCAGTTCAAGGCAGCGACAGGGATGATTTGTCCACTCCTGACACCATGATTAGACCTCTCCAAGCGGTATTTTTATTTCAATAGTTATATTAGACAATGTCATGTGTTTATGTTTATTAACTTTTTTACGGTTCATTCGTGGAGCGTATCAATACAGTGTAAGTCCACAAATCAATGGAAAGATAACTGTTCTTCTCTCCTGTGCAGATGGAACGTCTGAAGGATCTGATAGACGAACCCACCGACAAAGAGATGTCCATAGAGAACGTGATCGGAGTTGTTGCAGAGATAAACAAGTTAATCCAGCTCGATACGCCTGACGTATCCCCGGACGGAGTTCCACCTGAACTGGTAAGGTAGTGTTACAGATTGGAAATAATTATGTTCTTCTTCGCGGAAGAAATGCATATTGTTTTGCTCAGTTTCTTCCTCTTCATCTTCTCCAAACAAATTTGGTCAATGACCTGGACCAGATGTCTGTAACAATGGTAACTAGCTATAGCACTGTAGCAGGACAGAGTTGGAGAGGCTGCTCACCATATATTTAAGGGTTAATGTCCCGCCTCGAGGTGAATATGGTGTGATAAAGTCTTGTCAGTTGCTATAACCACCGAATAAAGCCACCAAGTGAGCGCAGCGAACGAGGTGGCTTTATGAGGTGGTTATAGCAACTGACAAGGCTTTATCACACCATATTCACCGAGAAAGGGCGGGCCATTAACGCTATTATCATATAGCTTACACGATAGCCTATCCAAACTGATGCAGTAAGTGACACAATGTACAATTTACCCGTTGCACATGCTGAATAGAACATAGTTCCATCTGGAGTCACCTGAGGTCACTGGGTAGAGTTCACGTTCTGTGTCTTCTATCTGGGTCACAGGCAGGGAATATGTGTTCTTATGGGAGTCACCCGAGGTCATTGAAACACTACTGAAGTTATTTTTGGATTTTTTGGAACTAGAGCCGTGTTCTATTGGGTCACCTGAGGTCATATGCGGGTGATTATAGGGTTGTTTAATGAATGAATGAATGAATGAAGACCTTTATTGTACATTTTTGCCCCACTGGGCTAAGCACAGGTCACATAATACATACACATATATAAATACATATTCATGTAAATATACATATAAATTATCACATGTACCTGTATATATAAATGTCTAATGTATTCTATTCTTTTCAACTTCTTCTCGCTTCTTTGGTAATAGTATAAATGTACGATGATGTATGAGCAGTTAGATTTGGTTTATCAAAGGTTAACAGGAATATAAATTTTTCTTTACTTGTTAAGAATCCGAAGTGGGGAAATTTACTTAAGACATGTCCGTAAAGTATGCGTCTATCACTGTCATATAAAGGACAATCTATGGTAAAATGTACTTCGTCCTCTACTCTATCTAGACTACAAAGTTTACAGATTCTTTGCTCTAGGGGAGTGCAGTTATGTCTCCCTGATTCGATTCGCAATTTGTGACAACTGATTCGTAGTTTTGTAATGGTGGATCTATGACGTACATTTGCTAATTTAAGATATTCTTCTTCGTTATAAGAATGTTTTAATAGTCTGTATAATCTGAGTTTGTTCTTTGCATTTGCAATTCTGTTATCGTTGTGGATTTCGGATAGAAATGTCTGAAAATAGATATCTTTTAAACCCTGAAAAATTGATGAAATGAAAGGGGACGTGTTTGAGACGATTGATTGGGGGCTTTGCCAGACGAAAGCATAACCACATTCCCCTAGAGTTCTGCGTACACCAGACGCCCAACATTTTACTCCTGATGCTTCTAAGTCTAGTTGGCATAGAAAAGCGTCTGCCTGCAGGGTGTCAGCTGGTGCGTTTTTACGTATGGATTGGGATGAATAAATACCCGATTTTGACTCTATTTGTGACATTACGGCGCCATAAGGAATGTGGAATGGAGCCTTCTGATTGGTCAACGTCACCCGGCTATATGCTAATATATGTTAATGTATCTCATTAACAATAAACAGCGCAGTAGTTTGGTTAACTAGAGCATGTGGAGGTACGTATTATGCTTTGCAAATTAATGTTATAATTACCTTTCTAGTTCGGTTTCAAATTAACTTCAATGTGTTGGATAAAGTAGTGTTTTGTACAACGTCAAGTTATCTTACTCAATGGAGCATATTAGACTTATTTATTATCGCTGATAACCGTGTCCACTTTCTGAACAGGAGGAGGGCATAGCTCTTCTGAGCAAGTCTTCAGAACTCATACGATCCTCTCAAGGCGTGACAATTTCAACAATGGAGACAGCGAATAACGGTACGTGCGGCATATATATAAAACTGAAAGACCTGCATGCACTAGGACGTTCATGCCATATAACTCCAAATATGCATACAGCATACAGTAATACTGGTTTATTACGTAGTGAATCTTAGTGAAAGACGTGTAAACCAGGATTCAAAAGACACAAAAGGAAGAGTTTGATTTATCCACATTTTCGTCTGTACAACACCAGTATATATATAGTAGTAGCCAAGAAACCCCACTGGTCGTTGTAACAGTGTGGTCCTAAACTGTTTCAGCCGTGGCACAGACCGTATCCAGTGCAGTTCAAAAGCTGCCAGCAGGAACCCCTGCCACTCTTGACAACTCATCGCCTTTATTTGAAATGGACCTTATTGATGTTAACTCGATGGACGTGTCTCCTAAACAACAGCTGAAGAACATAAAAGACCACCAAAGGATATCCGAGCAGAAGGTCGGTAGTAAACCTTACAACCTGTCTATTGTACTTTTGTTACTCCAGTAAACCTCCTTGTATTATTTCACCTGGAATACTTTCCGTCTGGTTACCTTCGCCAAGAGGGTTATGTTTTCAGGGGCGTTCGTGTGTCTGTGTGTGTGTGTGTGTGTGTGTGTGTGTGTGTGTGTGTGTGTGTAAACACGATAACTCAATAAGGTCTTGATGGATTGTCTTTATACTTAGTAGGTGGGTAGGTCTTCATGAGACCTCAAAATGATTAGATTTTGGACCCCATGGCGGCTTGTAATGGTACTGCAGGTGAACTTCCGGTTTTGATATCTCAGGATCTAGACATGCTAGGGTGATGGGTGACATGTGTTGGGGAAGACGTGACGTGAGTTTGGACCCCCTAGCGGCTTGCTCTGGAACTGCAGGGCTATATGTTTTAAAATAGTCAAAAGAGGCTGACGGATCGTCATGATTTTTGGAATGTAGGTAGCTTACATGTACGTGATGCTTGATATAATTATATGACAATTATGCAAATATGGATGTAGTTTGCATAATTTATGAGGAATTATATAAATCAGCTGTACTCCATGATAGGACTATTGAACCTTGTAAGATTGGTAATTGAGAACGAGAGAAACACAGGCAGATATTAATTATGTGAATAAAGATTAATTTGCATAATTAATGAGAAAATCTTATGATTCTGTAATGATAATTCTGGAATTTCATACTTGTGGTATTTGAAAGTTCAGTGAAGGTGAACATCATTAAACATAATGTATTCAAATCATGACCTCATTTGCATACTTTATTAGGAAATGCTAGAATCGCATTGTTTGTTCATATAAGACTGTGTTTGGTTGTATGAAATATGATAAACTGAAATCATATATAATCCATGAAAATAATGATCCTATTTGTTAAATAAGGGGAGAACTTTCCATAAAGATAAACATTATTTGGCGAAGGTATGAGATCGGGGAACTCTAGTTTATCTTAAAAACGTCTACCTATAAATGGACAGTTCGTTTTGGGTTACATATGCAGTAAATGCTTATTTGTCGACATTGCAATCTCTAAAATCGGAACATGCTCACAACCCCTTTATCACACGAAGGAAAAAAAATGTGTTTTTCGATCTATAATAAATAAAGCAGCTAGAGTACTATCGGTTTGCCTTCCCATGAAGGTTCTATCATGGAACTGTGAATTGTTCCGTCATGTGTATTTCTATATTCAATGTTCAGTTCCGTAAAACTGCGTTGTCTTTGGTGGACACCATTGAGCGAACAGCAGACAGTCTCCTGGCCATATTACCAGACACCGAAGACTACGTGAAGACGTTTAAAAACAACGACGTCATCGTAACCGTTGCAAGGTCCATTAAGAACCAAACAGTGACGCTTCAGGGTGGTCAAGTCAGCGTGTCAGCTTCTCTCATGCATTGTGCTTCACATGAGCGTGCAGATGCCAAGGTCAGTGGTTTGGCTATCCTACAGACATTGTCTTTATGAAACAAGTTTAAACTGTAATTTCCAACACAACAAATTGGACTCACCCAAATTTTCGACTGTACAACTCCAGTCTTTGTCAAGGAATGAGTATTCCACCGCTTCCGTGACGTCACGCAGATAACACACGTGACTCCGTGAGCAGTGGATCATAGGTTGCAGAAAGTCTGTGGCGCCCCCCGTCTCTGTTGAGGGATGGCTGTAAAGCACTGATGTGGATGGCCTCTTTAATACCTCGTGCAAAAAAGGTCCGGTTCTGTGTCCAAGATTCTTACCTTGTCCAGTGAGACTGAATGTCCAGGGGATTCTATATGTATATGTTGTGAAACCTCAGAGGTAGTTGAGCTAGGTCGTTTGTGTTCTAGGAACCAAGCCTTGGGCGATCTTTCAGTCTCTCCTGTATAGGTTTCCTTACATGGGTTTTCTTTCTGCAACCTATGATCCACTGCTCACGGAGTCACGTGTGTTATCTGCGTGACGTCACGGAAGCGGTGGATTGCTCATTCCTTGACAAAGACTGGAGTTGTACAGTCGAAAATTTGGGTGAGTCCAATTTGTTGTGTTGGAAATTACAGTTTAAACTTGTTTCATAATGACTAGTCTTCTACCAACACAGATGAACTTTCAAGATAAGAGATTGTCCTTATTTGTATTCCTTGTAGTATACGTTTCATGTAAATGGGAAACTGAGACAATCGAATTTTTCATGACATTTCAACAATATTGTCTCTTTCTGTTGTAGATAACTCTGATGAGAAAGAACCTGTTTGCCTGGAACGCATCTACCTTCGGGGAAAACATCACCACACCAGTGACGAGGTTCTCGTTTGGACGACGACACCCTGACGGATGCTCTATGCAGATAAGGCTATCAAACCCGGTCTTGTTTGAGTCTATTGAACAACAAAGACGTCAGAAACGTGACCTTCGTGAACGTAGCTTTGTTGGAACACATTTAGCACTGGGTGACATCAGCGTTGAGCAGAACGGCAACGTGACGATGGCTCTCCATGCGTTTGACGTACCAGCTGATACCGCTGTCGTCGTGATGCAGTTGTCTTGGTGGGATCACGCCGCTGCCTTCCGTGTGTTCTTCCGGTACGACACGCCTCCAACAGAGGAGCTGCATGACGACGTGGTGATAGTTCAGGAAGAATACATTTTTCTGGCTTGGCATCGAGGCACAAACAGCACGCGCGCATTTACTCCTAATATCCAGAGACGGCGGGGAAGACTTTTTGTTGGGATACAGAAAACAGGTAAAGATGTGTAGGGTATAGAATTTTTGGTTCTTACACAACCAGTAAAGGTACTCACCTGCTTACGTTTCGATGTCTATCAGACACCTTCCTCAGAGCTTCTGACTGGAGTTTTGCAACTCGCCGCTATTTATCGCCAAAGTAGGTGGCGCTTTTGCGGCGAGAATTCAATCCCAAACGTGGCTGAGCTTGTATCCCCCCTCGTCCCGGTTCATCACTGTGGTTGACTTCCTTATCCAAACAAGAAGAAAATTCTATACCCTAAGTATCTTCCAACCTAATGAAATTATTTACGGAGGTAAAGATGTCATAGCAAGAATGCGTATATGCATTTGCACACGACAAATACGATTCAATATATCTCCTATTTTCCTCTAATCAACATTACAATGTGATATTTTTTTTACATTTCCATTGTAACATGTTCTTTAACATCTCATTAGAATCCCGCATCCTTCGGCAAACTGCACCTTTCCCCAAAGATTACGTACTTCAGGCAACAACAGTGACCTGTCTCAGCTGGGATGACACACTGGAGAAATGGCAAGACGCCGACTGTGTGGTGAGGCTTTGATCCATATAAACTATTGATTTGTGTACTGATGCCTCAAAATAAATTGAGCTGGTTCTTAAACAGAAATCAACTGATCAAATTGGCAATTATAAACATTTGATGTTTAGTGCATGAAATGCTTTCTCTAGACAACTAGCGTATTTCTGCAACTCTAGGTTATTATATTTTTTGTCGATTTAGAAGTTGGAACCAAGAAGTGGTCTGGTGCTGGAAATCTCTTTAAATGCCTGTTTTATACTTTGTTGGAATCAGGTCCATGTGGATATATCAGATAGTACCTTCACGTGTAACTGCAATGTTCCTACACTGAAGGCAGTCATTGGTGGCTCCGTGCACTTCCTTCCAAATTCCATTGATCTAGACAACTTCTTCAAAGATCGCGACATCCTTAATGAGAACAGACTTGTGTTCTGTACGGTTGTCACTGAGTGGGCTCTGTACTTCGTGTTGATGATCATACTCAACGTAGACTTTCAGCGTCTTCGAGTGAGTATATCATTTTTTCGTAGTTTGCAATCTCCTTGTGACATTAGCAAGCATTTTATTCAGGTATGGCTTTCTTTCACCTGATTCCAATTCCTTTTTGTTTTGTACCAGAAACAGACAAAAGTAAGACCAGCAACTCCTGGCAGTACGAAACCATTACCACTGCTGTCCGTCCTCCCTCCGGACAGGATGCCAGCCCCATATCTGTACCAAATCACCGTCACCACCGGCTCCATGTTTGGCGCTGGAACCTCGGCCCGAATCGGGTTTCAACTATTCGGATCAAAGAACAAAACCGCAGTCAAGATGCTGAACCCAGGTGGAGAAGTAAGTCTGGTCAGCTTTTAGTTTGATGGACTGTCACTGACGAAAGCTAGTGGATACCAGCTGAAACGTCTGACGTTTCCAAAAGCATGTCCAGTTGCTTGAGTAACTCCTTTTTGCCGTATCTTATTACCCATATGTCTAACCTTCATCGACGTGACTGTTGCATGACTTTGACACTCTGTCATGTGTAGTGTGTTACCTACCTGATAATGTTACCTACTCATAATCAACCTTAAAATGAAACTCTCATACAGTCTTTGTTACGAGGTGGTATTCATGACGTCATCATGCCCCTGAAGACGTCACTAGGACATCTGGAGTTGCTGCACATCTGGCACGACAACACCGGTGTGGATGAAGCTTCGTGGTTTCTAAGGGATATCATTGTGAAGGATCTGCAAACAGAGGACGTGTAAGATGCATCGATGATAATTTTTGTAGTGCTCTAAAGCCGTATACTTAACAGTTCACAGAATTGACTTAAGAACATTTCTAACAATGTTTTCTGTCATCTGAAATTTACAACTACATGTACATATATGTGTTTTGGTATACGTTTTTTGGTGTACTAGAAACCAACTAAGATATTATTACATTGAACAGTTTGCATTCTATGCACGTATAATTTCAGGAATGCACCCTAATAAATCTCATCTCGTGATCTGTTCAATGATCATTCAGTCCTCAATTGAATCTTTGTTAAAGAAAATACTTCACCTCCAATTCAGTTTTTTTTCTTTGTCGTTTGAAGTTACCAGTTTATCTGTTATGACTGGCTGTCTGGAGACCGAGGCGACTTCCAGGTTCAGAAAGTTCTACACGTGGCGACCCGGGAACAGTTGGACTGCTTCAGTAGTCAGTTTCGTGAGAACACGGACGCCATGTTCTACGACCAGCACCTGTGGACATCTCCCTTTGTGTCACCTGAAGGTATTTTTGCATTGGACCTTTTATTGATAACAAAAGAAATGGAGTGTGAATTTACACTACTCTTCCGTGAGTCCGTAGTGAATAATCAGATGAGTATTTGGACCATCGCACACCGGGGCATGTCTCTACTCTTTTTCGAAAGGTGTGGTGGGTTCTTTAACGTGCGTTGGGTGTGACTGTCCCCAAACACGGGGCCTCCATTTGACGTCCTATCCGAGGGACGGCCCTAACCGAAGCTAGGTACTCATTTACACCTGAGTGAAGTGAGGAAAGTCGTGTAAAGCGCCTTTCCCAAGGGCACAAGATCGGTGACATGGGTGGGGATCGAACCCGGGAACTCTTGGCCCTGATCCGAACGCGCTACAAGACCCCAAACGACCCTACAAATAGACGAGTCTACAGGTGGTTGTAGATTCGTCTATTTGTCATAAAGATGATAACATCTTAAGTCGTTTCGACAGTTTTATCAGATAGTATCTTTCAAACATGAGTTCCTACCGGATAACGACGTCCCATGTATAGAACGTAAAATTGATGTTCTTCGATTGAGGAAACCCACACCTCAAGTAAGTCAAAGATCCTACCAATCGAAAGAGTAGGGGTCTTTCTCGGCTTGGGTGGTTCAAATCTTACATCTTCACATCTTGAAAAGGCTATGGCTACCTGTTATGTCAATCCCTCCGCAGATGTGATACTTTTTATACATGAAAAATAAATAAAACTATTTGTAGGATCCAGCTTCACGAAGTCAGAACGCCTGTCCTATTGCTGTGCTGTCTTCAGCAGTATGATGTTGTCCAACGCCATGTGGTACAAGAGTGACGAGGGCTTCGTGACCAAGAACACCGTGTATGATCTGGGGTTTGTACAGATCACCCTACAGGTAAGGAACGTTACAGCTTGTTTTAGTCCTCAACAAAAGTTTGTTTGTTTGAACCATTCTTTATCCATGAGAAGATGATATGGGCAACCAGGCAACTTTTTACTGAGGTTATGAGGGAAGAGGTGAATTTATGTTTAAGTTAAGTTTATAGCTCTCATATGTTCATCTCCCTAAGGTTTATCTCGACAGCTATGCCCATTGCTAAGACGTAGGCCCAAGACATTACCACACAGCATGATTCTTATCTTCTAAATTGGCCTGTGACTTGATGAAATCCCACTAAATTCCTTCTCTGTATCTCTGATGTTGCGCACATATACAACGTACGTAGCATATAATAGTAGGTTACATGTGATGATATACACTGCAATGAAATAACCGTGCTTCCACTTATTGAACTTTGTGTTTTTTTTATATGTAACCAAGGAGCTGTATGTCAGTCTCATGACTGTCGTCATTGTGTTGCCGGTTGCCTTGGTGCCGGCTAAACTGTTCCGGATGGAGAGAGCAATCTCAATAACGGTTCCGGGAATTCGTCGTAGCTCCAGCTGTGGTAGGTTATTGTTTATCCCCTTCTAAATTTATCAATGTATTATTTGAGTCATATACATGTAATTACATACATGTATATATATATATATATATATGTATTTATAAGAAAATAGGAGCATCTAAACCAAATTTGTAGGACAGCAATGTAAACGTCACCCATTCTATTTTGTATCATGATTTTATACTAGGTGCCCAGAAATAACATGCCCTAACCTAACATCTTATAGTTTAAGAGTTTCTGGGAGTTTCTGTTTCAGTGATATGTCGTGACTATATCAACAACAAATATCAAGCTTACATTCTTATTGTTTGAAAGTTAAAACGTTTGGTCCAACACAAAAAATTATCTCACCTAGAGCTTTCGACCAGTCACTCTGGTCTTCCTCAGTAGACTAACCCTGTGAAGCTTGTCACGTGCATGGCTTCTTTGAAGTGTGATGTCAACACTGGGTCAAAGGTGTCTGGTAGACTCTAGGTGAGAGATTTTTTTTGTGTTGGACCAAGTGTTTTAACTTTAAAACATGTAACCACCAACACAGATGAACTTTCATGACATTACATCCTTCTTTGATTCTTATTCTTAGGGTTCTTTAGAGAGCGACTTTCCCGTTGGTCAAAGACCATGGCTTGGTTACTAGTGACGTTAGTTTCCATCGTCTCGTCGTTCTTTGTGATCCTGTACAGTCTGGACTGGGGTAGAGAGAAGAGTGAAGCCTGGCTAAAGGCCTTCTTCTTCTCATTTGTATTGTCCAGCCTGGTCGCCGAGACCAGCCAGGTAAATTTTGACCATTCAGTTTTCGTCGCAAGTTTCGACGCACTCAATTCTAGAATATTGATCTGAAGTCATATCACTTAACATCTACATCCTAGCAAATGATGTTTTGAATGCCGCAGCTAATAATGGCATCAATAATATGCCCGCAGATATTGCTCCTGGCGACCGTTTTTGCCATGATTTGTAACCAGAGGTCCACGGACAAGCAGAAGACGTACAATATCAATAGAGAGGAACTCCACCTGGGCCTCTGGGGCAAGCAAGGTAAACGTTAATTAAGGGTTAATGTCCCGCCTCGAGGTGAATATGGTGTGATAAAGCCTTGTCAGTTGCTGTAACCACCGAATAAATCCACAGAGTGAGCGCAGCGAACGAGGTGGCTTTATGAGGTGGTTATAGCAACTGACAAGGCTTTATCACACCATATTCACCGAGAAAGGGCGGGACATTAAGGCTATTATCATATAGCATATCCAAACTTACACGGTAAAGAGTGACACATTCCTGTACAACAAACTAAATAGAACATAGTTCCATCTGGAGTCACTTGAGGTCACTAGGGGAGGGTCATGTTCTATCTGGGTCAAAGGCAGGGAACAGGTGTTCTTATGGGAGTCACCCCAGGTCATTGGAACACCATTCAAGTTATTTTTGGATTTTTTAGAACTAGAGCCGTGTTCTATTGGGTCACCTGAGGTCATATGCGGGTGCTTATTGGATTTTTAATGTATGGATTGGGATGAATGAATACCCGATTTTGACTCTATTTGTGACATTACGGCGTCATAAGGAATGTGGAATGGAGCCTTCTGATTGGTCAACGTCACCCGGCTATATGATAATATCTTATTGGTGAATATTATTTAGCTAGGTACGGCTTCATGAAGCAACTTGATTAGAAAATACGCAGTGCTTCTTCTCATTAAAGTCTTGTTACCTCCATGAAAAATGGAGGTATTGTTTTCAGCGCGTCTGTGTGTGCGTGTGTGTGTGTGTGTATGTGTGTATTTGTCTGTGTTTCCGCAACTTTGTGGTCTGGTGGTAATCCACATGGTTAGCAGGCCTGTCATGTGCCAGTGTGGTTTGTCCTGGGGGGGGGGGGGGCGGCATTTATCATCTGGTCGCCTGTGCTGTTTGTTCAACATGTGTTTTTACACGAGGCATTTACTTCATTAATGTAGAGCTCAATTGCAAAATTAAACAAGACAATTGCATTTACATGTCAAGCCCATATTTCATGGAGGTATGAGATTTTGGTACTCTTGTTTACAATGTTTCAACTTCCAGCTCCAAAGAAGGTGTATCCACCGAGCGCTGCATCTGCAGAAAGGATGAAAATAAAGAATGAACAACGTCGGAAGTTCTTCCGCGTGTTCAAGGATTACACCCTCCTGTTCCTGTTTGTCGTGGTTCTGTTCATCATCAGCCATCACAACAAAGACCCGTTTGCTTTCCACGCATCGGAAACGTTGTCCGGCACGGTTCTAAAAGATCACGATTCGGTAGGCAACTTTCTATCTTTTCTACAATTTTTAACTTGCAATCTAGAAAATTGTCCTGTTCATTGCATCTGGAGTCATGTCACTTATCTTTTGTTGATTCTTCAAAGTAATCATGAATAGTATATTTGTAACGACATTTTGTGGTGAAATTTAATCTGTTATCAGATTATTATCCACCACGAGCTTATGAACCTTTGCTGCTGTGGACAGGTTCAGGTTTTTGCCGGGAAGCTTATGTTATTTTTCCACATTCGCAAGTCTTACTCTGTGGTTGTTTTTTTCACAGATCACCACTGCTGACGAGTTCTGGACCTGGGCTGATGAGACCCTTCTGCCTGTTTTGTACCCTTCCGTATGGTACAATGGGTGGAAGATGAAGTATCTCGACCGACAGTTTCCACTTTATACTGAAGCGTTCAGAATCGGTCCGCCACTCCTCACTCAAGTCAGGGAGAAACCAGGTGGGAATCGTGGCTTTTTCTTTTGTTTTTGGAAAAGTTTCAAGATTCCATAATTTAATATTTGCTATAATTTCAATGTTTGTGTCCCAAGTATCTGGACCTATTAACCATTTTTTAAATCTTAGAAGCAAACAATGAATGAACTGCAATTTTTTTTTCTAAGAATATTTTACGTCACTGGATTCATTTCTGGGGAACTCCATAGATTGTCGTAGAGGTACATGTAATACATGTAAATACTTTGTACTTTTAGACAGAATCTAGTGTCGTGGGCGTTAAAGTATTTCGTACCCCATACAGATGCCATGGTAACAGACCGCTCTAAAAACGGATGGATGGTTAGAACTAGAAATGGTTCATCATCATGTTGGCTGTTCAATGTCACGGGCATTGTGGCACGCGATTCAGACTGCGCCTCAAAATACTCCATGGAACTCCCGGACCTCCTAGGTTTCGCGAAAGCAGTATTCTCCGACCTTCAGAGAAACGACTGGATCGACAAGTACACAGACTATCTGGTTCTGGAACTGTCTCTGTACTACCCGGCCCAAAAACTCGTCAGCAGTCTGAAACTGACCATACATCAGGAAGATATCGGCCATCTTTCTACATCAGCAACCGTGGAAACATACAGACTGTTTCAGTACGAAAATGCCTCTGACGATATCGTCACTTTGATCTCGTATATAATTTTCTTGGTTTTGTTTGTGGCTAATCTCGTCAAAGAAGTGTTCACCATGAAGAGGGAGGGGAGGGATTTCTTCAGAAAAATGTGGAACAGCTTAGCTCTAGCGAGCATAATTGGATCTGCAGCTGCCATATGTATCTTTGGAATAAGGTACCGCTCTGCATCTGCAGCACTAAGCACATTGGTCGAGGCAACAGGTAAATAGCATAGTATCACATTTTCCATTGTTTGTTTGTTTATTTGATCTCCATTCTGAAGTGTCTGTTTTGTTGTGAAATGAAAAAGTAAAACGATATTAAGTAAATCTAAAGTCTAAAGCATCATAATTCACGTGCTGGCAAGTGTGACTTGCGGCCTGAAATACATGTCATTCAAATACAGTAACTACGTTTTAACATCAACCATCTTAGTTTGTTGAAACTCTTATTTTTCTGAACTTGGAATAGATCATTTTGTCGACTTAAGTCCAACGTTCTGGTGGGATGAAGCCTTCAAGACCGTGTTGGCCATGGTAGTGTTCATCTCTACACTGTCGCTACTCCGAGTCGTCCGCTTCAGCAAGACCGTCGCCAGTTTCATCGCCCTGCCCGGTGTCATGAAGAACGACTTAATCGGATTCTCAATCATCAGCGCTTTAGCCTTCATGGCGTTCAGCACTTCAGGTAAGAGTTTGTTCAAGCAACATGTTCTCATAGAAGTTTAAAACACGCCATTCCCTTGCTTGTTTGTGACATTTATGCCCGCAGCGAGTGCCGTATGTGCGAGGTTCCTAGGGGGGTCCGGTGGTATGCTCCCCCAGAAAATTTTGAAAAATGAACCTTCTGAAATGGCATTTCCTGCGTTTTTGAGAGGAGATAACTTTTTATTCAATGGCAAATTAGGCAGTTTTTATACGATTCCAGCCCCGCTGGTGATCTAATAAATAAAAATAAATAAATATAACACTGCACGAAATGGCCTCGGATTATAGCAAATCCTGAAGATCCGAAATCGTGCATCATGACGGATACGTAGCAAATCCGGAGAAATCCGCAATCCTTACTAGAATACGAAGTAGCACTGCAGATCCGACAATTCCGGCACCGTATACGTCCGGATCTTTAAGAAATCACAGATACAAATTTGATATACGCAAGGAACCTTCTTTCTCGGATATGTTATAAGTTCGGTTTTTAGGGGAGTCTGGAGTTGCCTCGGATCCTGACAGATACAATAAATACCCATCATGGCGTCATACATGTACTACCGCAGATTTCAGCAAATCCGCCTGCCGGGCATTAAACGGATTCTAAAATAACCCACAGGGCACTGCTGCTTTGGACTCTCCCGCAGATTCCGAACAAAATAACAGAAGCGGGATTTCGCGGATCTCACTTCCGCAGATCTGAACAAGATACCAGAAGCGGGATTTCGCAGATCTCGCTTCCACAAATCCGAAAGTGATTTGCAGCAACGGGATTTTTGCGGATCTCAGAATTTCGCACTGCTATGGATTCCTGGGTCCCACAGATCCGATAAAGGTACCAAAAGCAGAATTT